GTAATTCTTCCCACGAATGCATCCACAACATCTGTGGCTGGGATACAGAACCAGTCTGGTAAGCGTGTGAAAAGGAATTTACAAAGAACCTCGAACCAATGAATTATTGTATTTGTTTTTCAATTTCTGGTTAACTAATACGAATTATTTCTCCTGAGTCAGCCTCCTGGGACAGTACTACTGGTTGGGGCTGACAAATCCTACTAACTAAAGCCAATTTACAGGCCTGATTTTAAAGCACTGAAATGAACATTTTGATAAGCTAAAGCTAAATGGTTCATGTCGGTTTTGCTTGCAACCATCTAGTTGATAACCTAACACTTAATTGATCCATCATTTAGGCACATGGAGATGAATATTGAATAAACTTACTCATAGACTAACAATTGCATGTGTCAGTTTATTTGCATTAGGCTTTGATCTTAAGGAATTTTAACATGTAGCAGAGATACATATCAAGACTCAAAGGATGAGACTGATCATTCATTTTTTATTTTCCTTTTCTTAGATTATATGGAGTTGGGTCAATTGTTTTTTTTTTTTTAATGTATATTCTCAAGCTACAAGATTCCAACAATAGTTGATGGAATCCTTTTTGCATAAGTCATTGTAATCATTTACAAAATCACTTGTTACCTATAAAAAATTAGTTACAGATCCTCTGCACAAAATTGTAAAATAAAAAAAAAAAAACAAACAAAGCAAAACAATTCATAATGCACACACAAGTACATGCATAAACATAAAAGTAGACACATCGTGTATGTAAATTAGATCTGTATCAGAACCGGATAAGGGTGGAATCCAAACACAATCAGATTAAAAATGCCCAGAAGTAGTGCAGAAAGCAGTGGGCAAGATTTGTTCCTGGGTGTCGGTGAATGAGGAATTTAAAAAACAGAATGTATCTCTTTTGTTTTGCACTAAATCATGGATGAACTTGTAATCTGTTTTGGACCCAGGCAGAATTAGTGGTCTGGGCCTTGTTGTAATTTTCTCTTTATTCTGAATAAATTACCTTACCTTTTTCCAAAAAAAAAAAAGAATACAATCAGATTAAAAATGAAATTGAAATTCATCTCAAATCCTATCCACCATAAATATGTTTAGCCAAGATATTGCCAGTTTTAGTGATTTTGAAAGGGAGAAACTTACTCATTTGTGAAAGCAAAGATTGTAGCAGAAGGCCGGTAGTGGCTTAACAGCACAGCCATAGATCCTGTTCTTGTGAAGACAACAATGGGTGTTCGAAGTGTATTTGCCATTGTGGTTGCATGGAAAGCAAACATTGCACTCATATGGTTCTGATACTACAGTGAAAGTTAAAGATATCAGAAAGTTCCTACAGAAAGAAAAAAACAGAAAAGAAATTTGACATAAAAAGTGTTGTGCCATGCTGCCAATTGATAGCAATGTTCCAAGTTTCAATTCTCATTAAGCCCATCAGAATAAATTTCATTCATTCAAAACAACTTGTGAACATGAATGGGGTAGCCCGCCTTACCTTTATATCATGACCAACATGCGCCTGAAGGGAAAAAGAATGAATAGTAGTTTTGTCCGGTAAACTCGATTCAGTTCTCAATGCCACAGTGTGCATTACTTTAACAGCTTTTAGTGGATACCTGAAGCCATTATCATAATAACCGATCAAATAAAAGAAAAAGGCATACTAGATATTCCTTTAAAAAGGGAAAAATAATTCAGTTCTCAATGCCACAGTGTGCATTACTTTAACAGCTTTTAGTGGATACCTGAAGCCACTATCATAATAACCGATCAAATAAAAGAAAAAGGCATGCTATATATTCCTTTGAAAAGGGAAAAATACTTCCCAAAAAACATCATGCCTCTCCCAACCCTCCCCCCCCCTCTCCAAACAAAAAAGATTTATTAATGTAATTCATCGGTAATGGGGAAAAAACAAATCTGATCAAATTTAGAAACACAATTAGATATAAAGCTGGCAAGGCCATTGCTCAGCAGAACTAGATTAAATTATGAGGGACCCTAGTGGTTTATCAAAGGACGAATAAACCAGAACCTGACAAAATCAATTTAAAGTAGAAAATCTAGTGATTTGCCCCTATAATGTTCTCAGTACTTTGTTTTTTGTTGTGCTGAGAGGCACAACAAGGTAGTGCTGCATGCTGATTGTGCTTACTCAATGTGCTCACTTAGTGTGTTTACCAGTTCCAGACTAGGGATAAAAAAAGGAAGCAGACAAGAAGGCAGTGGTGCATGGACTCTCTTAAATGGATGAAGTGTCCATGTTGGACATTTGTCAGATGTTATGGATTCTTGAAGGACACTTCTATGTGATGTGACACTTTTATTTTTCTCCTTACTTAGCATAAATGGACAATTATACACAGAATGAATGCCATTTTTCCTATAAATGCTAGGTTTATACTTTTCTATGGATGTGCCTGCAAGTCCTTGTTTTTTGTTTTGCCAAGTATGGCTCTAAACACGTGTACATTGATTATCATGTTCATATCCATGCAACACTACAAGAAGGTATTCACAGGATTGGGAGTCCAAACATGGCTATCTGCTTTAGAGGGATCAATGAAGACAATGTCCAAAAGCTGAAGATCATATAGCTGACTCTGGAAAAGGACATTGGGAAATGAAATGGTCTTGTTTTTTATTCATAGAAAAAGTAAATAGACTCAGATATAAATCTTCGAAGGATGGTTTCCTCACCATAGCTAGAATTTAGTCTTGTTCCTTTATGACACGTCAAATCTGGTATGGGTGAGAACACACTTCAAATAGCTGAAAAAGACTTCCGAGGTGAAGTATAGCTCGACAAGACCAGCATCACGTCCATTGCCCAATAAATCATCAACCATTTTAATCATGATATACCACAGCTTATTCAAATCTACAGAGAAGCATCAAAGCCATCTAACCAGGAGGGAGGAATTCCTAAAAACCAAACCCCAAACCCAATCCACTCTCTTCTTTCCTTCTGAATATTTCCAATTTATTAGGTGATCCTTTTAGTTTGTCCTTGTTACCATAAGAAAACTCTCATTATTTTCTTCAATCTTTTCACAATTAGCATTGGGATTTTGGATATGAACAAGAAGTAGATGGGAAGGTTAGCAAAGGTTGACCATTTTAGTGTGATTATCCCTCCTAAAGAAACGCAATTCCTCTTCCAGGTAGCAAATTTCTTGGTAAACTTGTCAAAAACTGGATTGCAGAAATTACAAAAACTAAGATTATCTCCAAATGAAAATCCAAGGCAATATTAAATGGATTGATTTAAATTCTAGTTATAAGCATATACATGATAGCTCAATAATACTATGGACATACCGATTTATGTTATTGAGAAAGGACCAAAGTTTTTTATTATATTGTTGGGTATGATCCATGAAGAATTCCCTTCCATTGTCATTATTAATACGATTGTTGGCATAAGAATCTATTATAATTCTGCCTCATATAGATGTATTAAAGAAGAAAGAAAAAGAAGACTAGAAATCTTACGGTAGGTGGAGAAAGGACGAAGAAAGCAGAGATGAGATGTTTGCAAGGAAGAATACTTCCATTTCCCTAGCAGGACAAGGGGTGAACAGCGACCAATGTATTGCAGAGTAACTTAAAAGGATGTAATGTAACAGGGGGCTGCTGTGTATGGGCTCTTACATAGTAACTTGGGGTAACAAGGAACTCTTTGTGTATATTCTTTTAAACAATTAAAGAAAACTTTTATCATTTATCCATGACCTAAAAAGAACTTCCATTTCCCTATCTACCTGTGGTTTGCTTCTAACTGCTGAGAAATGTTTTCTTCTCTTCTTCTTAGAGGATCTCCCAAAATTTTTGGGTGTTTTGTCCCTTTTTCTTTCTTTTCTTCTTCCTTTTAGTCCTCTCCATGCATAGCTCTCTCCTTTTTATCTCTTTTGATCCCTCACTAGTACATTAGTAGCATTAGGAAGCACGGGCCTCTTCTAGGGAGGCTTTATAGAGTGGGGGTGATTATGTAACTACCCTTCTCAAAAAGAGTGATGCCTGGCTTCCCACTAAAATAGAGGGAAAGCCAAGCATGGGACTGCTCAATGTGGTCTCATACATTTAAAGTAGCCCTTAAGCAGGTCAAATTGACTAATCTATTTTTTATTTAAGAGACTAGGACATGTGAGCTTTCTATCTGGCCTATTCATTTTAATTAAGGCCAGATGCAGTTGGATAGTCCTCTCTATGATAAACTTTTTTTTTGAAGAGTAAGAATAAAATTTTATTAAATCAAAAACAAGATACAAGCTGATTAGTCAATTTGACCTGCTTAAGGGCTACTTTAAATGTATGGGACCACATTGAGCAGTCCCATGCTTGGCTTTCCCTCTATTTTAGTGGGAAGCCAGGCATCACTCTTTTTGAGAAGGCACCCATCCAACTTCAGTTTAGACTAACTGATTCACATTGCAATTTTGAATCTCTAACAGTTCCCAAAAGTTATCAACAAAATTTGAAAATCTGATTTGTTCAAATTCTGGTAGAGTGATGACCCAGCCTGTGACTAGTTTGCCAACTGAAGCCACAACCTCTTCAGTCCTTTCCTTTACTTCAAACAAACAGCAAAGGGGATACATCTCCAGACAAATTAAAATACTCTTTCAAGAGTAGATGTGAGCTCTTTCTATCTGGCCTATTCAAGAGTAGATGACTCCAATACGAAGTTATTAGTATAGAGTTTGAGTAGATGAAAAAACAGGTCTGAAAGGAGAACATAAAGAGTTTGAGAAGATAAATGCAAGACCCATGCTGCATTCAACTTGTTTTATTAAAGAGTGAAGAAATAACATGAATAATTACAATCCTGCCCCTATAAGAACCAATGGCAGATTTATAATAATAAGGTAAAATTCTTCTTACATCACAACAAAGATCAAAGCATGATCTATCAATGGCTGCTACAAGAAATCCATAAAAGAATCAAAATGCAAACAAAGAAAAAACAAGGGTTGAAACTGTTAACATGTAGAAAATAATAGGTGGTATAGCAAGAAATGTAAACCACAAGTACTTACTTTCCATGTGCAGTTTCCCCAGAAAGCATCACTGCATCAGCACCTTCTCGTACTGCAATTGCAATGTCAGATACTTCTGCCCTTGTTGGTGTTGGATGATTTATCATGCTTTCCAACATGTTTGTTGCTACTATCACCGGTTTCTGCATGCTGTGGCACCTTCTAATGATCTCTTCCTGTTCAAACAGTTACTTGAGATCTACTAATTTTTTTAAACAGAATACAGTTCTAATACTGGTATTCAATAATTCAGTATATGGGCCTTCACAAGACAGTGCAACACCATGTGATTGGATTGTGACAAGGTGATAATAGTGATCCATGGAAGATGATTACGCTTGGACTGTGACATTAGTTCATAAATGTTGCAATATTTTTTGTCCACCATTATCTTCTGCTAAAACATGAAGAATTGTGTGCAGATGTACACAAAAAAGAATACAAAAAAACACACAAGATGGACAGCCAAATAAAAGAAAGAAAAACAGACAACCTCATTATCAAGCTTTATATCCTTTACAATGGTAATGACACCCCGCAGTAAGGTCAGGCCTTGAAAACTGAGAATTGCTAAATCATTGACCATAGAATAGTAGTTTCCTCCTGTTAGAATTGTTAGAATTAGTTAACAGGGGCATTATTGTCTTTTTCATGTTGTTTTTCTCTCTTATGTCTGTTGTAACTTAMCTAAGGGTATTATAGTCATTTCAGCTTTAGTAGAATGCTAATACAACCTGGGTCGACAGTAAGGAGAGAAGATTAGATTTCTCCTTGCTAGTCTTCCTCTTTCTTCTCTTTCCCTTCTCTTTCTTTCTCCTATCCTTTTCTTTACCTTTTCTTTTCTTTATTAAAGTTGGAACACCCAAGTTTCAAAATATCAATGTATCAGCCCATATCGGCCGTTACGTATTGTATCGGGAGCTTCCCAATACGCCCCTACAGAGGGTGTATTGGGGTTTTGACGGGTTCAGGGAGTGCACGGACCTTAAACCGGCCCCTCTGAATTGGATTTGAAAAAAAAAAAAAAAAACTAAGAAAATTACCAATACTGCCTGATACACCTCTACCGGCATATCGAGCGTATCGATATTTTGATCCTTGGGAACACCTCCCTTAATGCACCTCAACACAACCAGATATTTGGAAAGAACTACCTTGTTCTCATCAAACAAGTATGCCATCCCCAAGAAATTCTCCTGTCTTTTTCCATTTAATGCTATTAGCAAAGTACCCTCAATCACAAGGTATTAGAAATGTATAGAAGCCACTCCAAGGCCAAGACAAAAGCCATCACCTCTACTTTAGGTGAACCTGCCTCACCATCTACATTAGGTAAAACTGCCTCACTAGACACTAATTGAGTCATTAAAATTCAGATATTATTCCCTTCTCTGTCAGAAACACAACTAAAACTTCTGGAGGGGCATAATTCCTGATTCAGCACATCAAACCATAAAATGAGCCTTCACCATACTCTGACACCAGGGGCACTAATGTGAGCTACAGAAGTTGGCGATGAATGCGGAAAAGAGGATAGTATTTTGTTCCAAACACCACCAAAAAAGGGCAATGTTCTCTGAAAAAAGTCAATTCCTACAATGTCTCCATTGGACTTTGAAGTTAGACACCTCCAAAGCATCACATGCCATGCCCAATTACCTAATCAAGAAGTCCCATAAAGTGCATACTTTGACAAATGCAAATACGAAGTAACCAAGTGATTCTCCATCTATCAAGAGATAACACAACCAGTGAGTTATATACTTAAACTCAACCCACCTCCTCTGAAGAAGATAGGCACTCACCTAACCACAGGCAGTGTTCCCTAAAAAGAGCAATGGAAAATCAACAACTCATTTTGGCTAGGAATATGCCAAGCAAGGGAGAAGATCTCATACAATGAAATAGCAAAGTAAAAGATAAATTTACATTTTAAAGTCCTAATCTGTGGTCAATTTTTTGGGCTAAAGAAAAACATCTTTAAGGAGCTCAATTGGTAGAAAATGCTACCATCATTCACTGATCACTCTAAAGACTTACCCCCCCCCCCTAGTAAACTAAACATAGGTCTGAAGTTTTCACATTTTTGTAACAATTGAATAAACATCATTTATTATTCTACTTGTGGGAAGGCAAACCAACAGTGGCTTTGTTTTCAGGACCAATAGGAGTGGGGGACTCATTGAGAACGGAGGTGATGGCTTGCTTCAAGGTGTAAGATATGCAAAACAGTTGGGGTTATACCAAATTGAGATTGAGGGAGACTCTAAATTGTTGATCGAGTGGCTGCAATCTGGTAAGTTGGGAGCCCGGATTTATAGACAGCCCATAAGGGAAATCCACAATACAACAAGGGAGATCGGTACATGCTTCAAATGGACAAGGAGATCAGCTAATGGTTTAGCTGACACGTTGGCTAAACAAGGGACTGTGAGGGAGAGTATGTTCTGGGCAGTTTTTTAAGAAAGATAACTGGGGCTCAACACCTACTTGGGGGTTGACAGCTGTACTTAAATCTGGAAAGTTATTTTAAAGTTATTTAATGAAGTTACCGTTTCCAATCAAAAAAAAAAAGGCAATCCAACAGTGGGGTTTACTTCAAAGAATAATGTATCTAGGAGGAAGGAAGAAGAAAGAAGGTGCAGAAAAGCTCTGATAGAGATTTTGAGGACACAACACATCTCTGCAAAGCTTACGCAAGGGAAGGGTAATGTATATGTGTGGAGAGCCTTAGGTCTCTTCTATTTATAGAGAAGGTCCCCAAACAGAATAGGAAATCATGTAATATAAGAGGGAACCTTCCCCAAAATGGAAAATTCTGTTATTTGGTTAGATCTGGGAAAGAGAGTTCACAAGTAGAGTTTTGCCACGTGTCACTACAGAGATTCTAGGGTTTGGGTTTCTGCCCTTCTCCAAATGAATTCAGGGGTGTGGGTTCCTGCTTTCTCAAAACATGGGCTGAGATGCAAGCCCATTGCAACTGTGACCTGTGCTACAATTGCAATGAAAAATTTGGGCTAGGCAACCATTGTAAGTCCCAACATATCTACTTGCTGCAAGTGGATGAAGGGGATGAGGACATATCTAGACCCGATGCACCAGAGGAACAGGAATGGGGGAATCTCATGGGACTAACAACCCCTGATATATCATTACAAGCAATGCATGGGCAGTCCATGTCTCAAATGATGCAGGTGGAAGGGATGTCAAATGGGCCGTCAGGTCCCAGTACTAGTGGATAGTCACTGAATTTTATCACAGTTGAGCACCTAACAAATAAAGGGAAAAAAAATAAGAAATATGCCCCACTTATCAAAATAATAATAATAAGAAGAAGAACTTTGCCTTCTCTTCCTCCTCCTGAGGAGGTTTATACCACCTTGTGCTCACAGAGGCTTACGCCTCTTGTGTTCTGAAATGCACCTCCAGGTAGTGGAATGCTTCATGTCACAACTCCATGTTTTATAACTTTGATGAGAGATGAAATTTCATCATTAAAGCAAAAAGACCGAAAGGCAGCACACCAATGGAGCCAAGGACACCGACCATGAAGGCATGAATAGTATTTCTAAGAATTGACAGGTAGAATATACATTATATATTAGAGGGTTCTTGGAAAAACATGAGCTATTGATGCAAATAAAATGCAAATGCCAACAAGTGATATATAACTTGCCATGACAATCAAATATACCTGCAATAAAGGAACTTCCTCAATTGGAAGTTCAGCTCCAAGGTCTCCACGAGCTACCATTGCCTGTCAAAATTAGATGCAACGAAGTGAAGGGAGTAAACTAGTTAAGAGATTGCCACCATCTTTTGAAATAATTACATAAAATAGATCTTTGATAAGGCAATAAGATTTTTACCAACAATTAAATTTCTTGCATACATTATAGACATGATTATAACATAGCATTTTGGTGTAGAAATACTTAATAGTTTTTGAGAAACTTGACTTACAGGGGTAATTTGAACATCCTATGTTAGTCAAAATACATTTAAAATTTAGTATGTTTTATTGTATAGTTTGTATATCTGACCATGTTTTTCTAATGTTTTTGGCATGTTTTCATATGCTTTGGTTACAGAATTGATTATAATGGTATGTTTCAAATTTTTCCAATATATTGTAATATTCCAGGCAACATGTTGTAGACAGTCTTTTCCACCATAAAGAAAATGACAGACTAAGGCTTACTTTTTGCTTGAAATCTATAACAAAAGCATGATTCATGCACCTCAACCATCTCCCCCCCCCCCAACCTTTATTTTATCTATTAAAAAGGGACAGGGCTAGTAACAACTTTATTGTCAGAAACTCATTATGATTGTCATAATTATGAAATACCTTTGTCTGATGCAACAAAAAAGTGTGATTCATGAATTCATGAGTATATTTCAAAATACCATTAGCATTTTCTAAAGTCAATACAATGTTTAGCAATTCTTTATCAGTGGCATTACATATCCATTGTTTCTAGTATGCCCATAATGTTATTACTGAACATGCCATATTCAACACTAACAAATTAATCCTGAAAATTCAATTCCATGCAATTCCAGCTGTGTATGGTGACAACATATCTTCATTATTTTTCACCTCATCTATTTTAGCAATCAACGTGCTAAAATAAGCAAATTTAGTCTTCAAGATCAACAAGTTCTACCTAATCTCTATGTCATAGAATGATAGTAGATCAAGTTTGATTTTAAAACATGAGAATAACTTACACCATCAGATGCTGAAATTATTGAATGAAGATTTAGAATAGAATCTGCGCTTTCTATTTTAACTATCACATGAATATCCGCATTGCAACCTACAACATAGAGTATTTGTGATTCCTTTTATCCAGAACAGCAATAAATGCACCAAAACTAGAAAAGAATGACAACAAAAARAGTAAGAAACTCACATTTTAGATAATCTTTCAATTCATGAACCACTTTAGCATCTTTCACAAAAGAAACAGCATAGAAATCAACTTTATTGTCCACCCCAAACTTGATATCCTCCCAGTCTTTCTCTGCAGAAATTGATGTTAGATACATTTAACACAAAGCAGCCACAAAAAGAAGAATTAAATTGGGGATGGATATAATCTACTACAGGTAATAGAAGATAAGAAATTACCTGTTATAGATGGCAAAGTTGCACTTTTTCCACGAACATTTAAATGACGCCTTGATTTCAGCTCTCCACCATCAATAACTTCACATTTGACCAAATCCTTTGTTTTTGATTTTACTGCTAATGACATCATTCCTCCTATAACAGACAAAATAACTTGTTAACTTTGATTTGAGCATGATACTTGACATCTCATGCAGAATTGCTAAGAGTTTCTGCACTTACCATCTACCAGTAGTGTATCCCCAACTTCCACATCATTCACAAAATCATCATAGTTTACACTAACAGTATTTTCTGTGCTAACTCCTCTTTGAATAGTAAAATTGAACTCTTGTCCCTCCTTAAGCAGGATAGGTTGAGGCACATCTCCACTTCTAACCTCAGGACCCTATATAAAGAAATTAAACATGCCAAATAAATCATTGTTTTTTTTTCAAAAAGTGAGAATAAAAATGAATTAAAAGCAATGGACACAAAAATAAAATCAGAAAAGAAAAATGCTTGAGAAAGATTTTAATGTAGTAGATTCAGGGAAAGAAAAGTGCCAAAGGAGAAGTGCAACTCCAATAATTAGGTCCTTTAGTACACATTGTTTGATTATTTCAACATAGCAAATATAATAGATTGTTGTGACAAAGCTCCACATCCCAACGGTTTTTCAATCGCTTTTTAACATGAACGTTGGCATGTGACTAAAGAAGATTTAAAAAGAGTTTCCAATGAATTTCATGAAAGAGGCAAAGTGGTAAAAGGCACAAATGCTACTTTTATATCATTGATTCCAAAAGTTCCTAGAGCAGCCTCTACAAATAATTTCAGACCCATTTGTCGCACAACACAAGTTTATATAAAATTGTGACTAAGCTTTTATCAACAAGATTAAAAGAGGTTTCTCACCTTCTAACCTCTCAAGAGCAAAGAGCTTTTGTAAGGAACTGCAAGATTCCAGACCAGATTTTGATAGCAAATGGAGCAGTCAAGGACTTTAGAAAATTGGGAAAGAAGGGTTTTTGCATACAAATTGGAGTTAGAAAAGGATTATGACCATGTGGATTGAGAGTTTCTGAAATGGGTAATAAATAAGATGGGTTTTAGGAGCAGTCTACTCATTTTTCTATCCTAACAAATGAAGCTCCCAAAATTTCTTTAAGGCTTCTAGAAGTTTGAGGCAAAGAGATCCCCCATCCCCCATGCTTTTCTTCCTAGTAGTGGAGGTGATGAAGTGTAGCTTTATAGGCATTGAGTTGCATCAAAATGAGATCAACAAGTGTGCTGCAATGTTGGGATGCGAGATTAGGAGTTAGCCTCTTAAATATTTGGGCCAACTCCTATTCTCAAAAAAGTTGCTTGCATGACAAAGAATTATATTTCAAAGGGGGAAGGTTAAATCTCATTAAATTCACTTTTTCAAATCTTTTACTTCCTATATATTATCCAGGCTCCTGTTAAGGTGATACAAAGAATAGAAAAAATCCTTAGGGACTTTTTGTAGGATATTGGTGATGGTGAAAAAGATCATCTTATGAGATGGAAAGGGATTGTAAAATTAAGGAAGAGGGAGGGCTGGGAATTGGGAGGCTAAATAAAAGAATAAGGCCTTGTTAGGAAAATGGCTGTGGAGATTTCCAAAGGATATGGTCAGAAAACAACTTATTTGGGAGAACCTAGGAGTAGCTCCAATAGTTAAGTAGACTAAGTAGCTCCAATATGGATATGGCATTGGGAAGAGTGGAATGGAAGAACAGGATTCATGTAGCCAACACCATATAGTTGGACAAGACCAGGGGTGGAGCCAGGGGAGCCATGCCCCCCCCCCATGGTTCAGAAAATCTCCACTGTAATACAACTTTTCATGTAAATTTTCCCCTCCCCCCATTCTCCATCTCAATGGTTGCTCCCCCGTGGGCCCATCCATACTTCATTTATGTTTTGGTCCCCCTTATAACAATTTCCTAGCTCTGCCCCTGGACAAGACTTAGTTGAGTTGTTGTCATAAACATACTCAATCTACGTGAAGATACCAGTTAGCAGGGTACAATGATAGGGGTAAAACAAGGAATAAGAGCTTGCATTTCAAATTATGAAAAGAAAACAACAGGATAGTTATTAACTATTCGAATTAATAATTCATCATATGTCAACATTGCAGCACACTTGTTTTAAAAGCACAAGTGTGAGGGAAATAATGTGTTCTCCCAAGTGTTTTAAAAGCACAAGGTGCAAATAAGTGCAAGGGGATTTTTGTGCCCAAGGTGCAAGACACGAGGCACAAAATTAAAAAAAAAATACAAAACAAAAAACAAAAAACAAAAAATCAAAATGTAAAAAAACAAAAATGAAATATAATATTAATTAAAAATGCATAGTTAAATTTCAAAAGAAATTAAATTTTTAAAAGCCTATTGGCTGAAATTAAATGTTTAAAAGCCTATTGGCTGAAATTAAAATACATAAACATAACATATAAAACATGTTCAAAGTAAAAATGTAGAAATAAAGTCAAACATAGCATACAAAACGTATTTAAACACTTAACAAACCAAACATGTGAAACTTTCAATATCTTTGATTTTTTTTCCCAATTGCATTACTTGTGAAACTTTCAATATCTTTGATTTTTTTTCCCAATTGCATTACTTCAAGTAGTTAATGTCATGTTAAACATTTTGGGTTGTTAATTCTACAAGTAGTTAATGTCATGTTAAACATTTTGGGTTGTTAAACATTTTTTTTCCCAAACCAAGTCCGGTTTCTAATACAGTCTAGGCCATTCTATCAGGTTTAATCCAATTAGAAAGCCCAAATATCATATCATATCATTATATATATATATATACATACACATTCGGTTTATGGTTTGGTTTGGTTTCTAAAATTCAGAAAACCGAAATTTGAAATTATCCCAAGTCAAACCAGACTGTTTCTAAGTCCAGAGCAGACCAAACCAATCAGTTTTGTTCGGTTCGGTTTGGCAGTCTGGACTGTAAAATCACCCCTAATTGCTCCAAATGTGTGGACCTTTTTTTCAAATGTGCAAGTACAGACTTGAAAACCCACAGACATCTTCAAATTAAGAGTGATTAAATGATTATCTAAAATGCAGTAGCTATGACTAACAAACATACCTTTGTATCAAGCATTATGGCAACAACCTTGTCTTCAAACTGAGCATTGTATTCTTTGACCAAATCAATAGTTTTCTGATGTGATGCATGGTCACCATGGGACATATTCAGTCGTGCCACATTCATTCCAGCTTCAGCCAATTTCCATATCATTTCACGTGTATTTGTAGAGGGACCTATTGTGCATACTATTTTTGTTTTTCTTCGAGTATCTGAAGTTTCCACTCCCGAACTATAATCACTTGGGTGAAACTCAATAGAAGAGATGATGTTATCCTGAATTTTTTTCAAAGACTCTCAGGTTACAGATAGATAACAGAATTACTGAAACTAATAAACACAACTACTGATAGATGAATTGGCAAAGGTTAAAAACGATGAAACTAACAAACACAATTACTGATATGTGTTCAGGAATGTAATGCATACAAACTGAAAGTTAGAAAAACTATTTTGATTGTTCAGAAATGAAATTTGACAGGAGGGAGAAAGTTATCGCATATTTAAACAGCTACTATAAAAGTAGGTGTGTTAAACACTTAAACCATGAAAAACAGTTTAATCATACAAAACATAGAATAATATCAAAACAAATGCCTTCTAGCATAAATGCATAACATAATAGAAGGTAAAACCAAAACCATTTTGAAAACTTTCAATCTGACACGTATCTGATCTTGTTTGTTTACCAATCATTCGTTAGGAAAAAGGTCATTCTTGTTAAATATTTTGAGCTGGTCTAATTCATGTAGAAATACCCATCTAGCAGGTGACATGGCATAAATATTTAAGTGATGTTGTGAACTGAATTAACCAAAGCATTTTGATGATTTGGCATCCATATCTGTTACAGAACAACAGTATAACACTAACAGAAGGGAGAAGCCTATATGCCATACTTCTTCCAAGTTCCAAGTTATGTTCGTATATGTGGTCTTCAGTGCAACACAAGATTATTGTCTACCATGAAAATGTTGGTATACTTCTTCTAAGTTATATTGAACCAGAGCTCAACCTTCCAGTAATTGGACTAAAGATTCTTGAATAATTTTTTTCAGCAACACGAGTAAAGACGAGAGAATATGAAAACAGAGAATGATCTTGATTTGTACTCTCTGATTTTTACAATGGTTATACAAACATATACACAAGGAAGGGAACTTAATCAAAACGATATAATCCACTTTATCTTTGTTTTTTTTTTATAAGTGAAAACAACAGAGATCCTGTCCTACTGATGACTCGCAACAAAACCAAAGCTGCAAAACTTGTTTTATATTTATAACCTGCTAATTGCAAATATTAAAAAACAGAAAGTATGAGCTCAGCATTGAAAATCTTTCGGTCCGTATTATTCTCATTAAGTTCCACCTTTTCAATAACATAGAAACAGAGATCGCGCAGAACGGAGGGAAAAAGAACATAGCAGGTTCTCTAAAAGTTAATGCCTGATAGTTGTCAGACAAACAAGAAGAAAGCTTCCAAATCCAACACAAATGAACCGAATGAGCACTTACAACACCCGGAAGGCCATCCACCGATGCCGAATCTACTATTTGGTTCTTCTCCTTGATCTTCATCAATTTTACAGATAAAACGCCCCGACCAGGATATCCCGCTCTTCTTCTACTTGTGGTTTCATGTGAAAATCCGCTCAGATTCCTCGACGAAGCGAGTCGATTGCAACCGGCCCCGCTTCCGCTCTTCAACAGAGACATTCTCGTTTGCAGATTAATCTCCGCCGCCGATGCTGCGGCTCCGGAGACGGATGCCATTATCGATCGAAACAGAGAAACAGAAACTGGAAGAATAGTGGAAGAGAGCGAGAGAGAAGGTCCCCTGTTTTTCTTGCTTATTACGACTTTATGCGGAAGAAGAAAATGAAGAAAAACCTAGTTGCAGCAGTCAAGGAAAGTAGGAAACAATGTACACACTGAACGAAGTAGTTACTAACGTTTTAACACATGACCGTTGTTTAATAACATAGCGTTGCAAAGTCGGCATATTCCACGTTCGATCGGAATCCTGATAAATATCTAATAATACGACAGGATTCCGATCCACATGCAAATGAACAGGTTCTACGGTTGTTTAACAGATCCCGAAATGTTCTCTATAACGCCTCATGGCTCCATTTAGCGTTTACCGTCGTGTCTGGCTCGAGACAGTAAGTCAGCTCGGCTGTCCTAGTGTGCGTGTGAGGCGCGTGTGAAGCATCCTGTGTGAGGAGCAGATCCGGTCTCAAACGGTCGTTAGTACTACTTATAGTTAGTACTTACACTATTTGGTAGTTAGTAGTTAGTACTACTCAATCACGGATTTACCACAAATGTTTCAATGTTGTAATTTCAAAGCTTTGCACTATTTCATGAGTTCATCTCAACGCAAATTCACCAGACAAATGATGGTTTTATCCAGTGCTTCAAACCTCATTGATCCAACCAGTTGAACCGCTTGAACCATCATCCGATCAAGATTCTAGATCCAATTTGAGTAAAACCCAAAGAAGGTAAAAAAATCATTGACTTTGTCAAAAAAGGTTTGACTTGGATAGTTGGATTGTTGACCTGTTCAACCCGGTGACCGAGTTGTGAGTTGCATACTAACTGTATATGCAAAYTTCAAGATGCCATAACCTTGCACTCCTATATCCGATTTGAGGTGATTTTTTATTTTGGGTGCCCCATTATTTTTTCCAAAAGAAAAACTTTTTTGGCCTCAAATTGCAATTTCTAATATTTTTTATAGATAAAAAAAATTAAAACTGAATTAAAAATATATAAATTAAATATAAAATATTTCATATATTACATATAAAACATAATTATACATTATTTATTGATAAAATACATGTTTATACATACTTACACACATACACAAATTTGGATTAGCTAAACGCTTTAGCTATTTAACAGGTTATGGAACCAATGATGAGGTTCCACACAAGTAATAAATTCATGGGACCCATTGTAAAAATGTGGGTCCCGTGAATTTAAATACTAATGTGGGACCTTATAATTGGTTCTACAACCCACTGAATAGTTAAAGCATTCAACTAAACCTTACTCCACACACACACACGACTAAAATGGCACAATCTGGCCTATCCGGCCTAGCTAGTCGTAGTCAGCGGCCTGAAAACAAAAACAATTCGGCCTCTGGGTCAATTTTTAAAACACCGGTTTTATCAACCCTAACCAAATAAGCACAAGGCAATGTGGATTTACCACTTAACCCAACCCCCCCCCCTAATAAACTTAATAATCATTAATAATTTAATGGACTTGAAATAAAATAGATTGATAAGATAGGATGTAACCAACCTAAATAAAACAGATTGATAAGATAGGATGTAACCAACCTAATATAGTTGGGATAAGGCATGAATGATGATAAACCCAACCCATTGAACCAATAACTTATGGTTTTGATCCCACAACTCTCTTTTATGAAATACAGGATGGTCTCCCCATAACCCATCCCCCTCATGCATTAGGAACATCTCTTGTGTGCGTGGAGATGTTTCCAATACAGAGGGATGGGTTGTGTGGGGCACGCTTTGTGGACAGCTCATTGGACTTCTTCTTTTCAGAGACATTGAGAAAGTTGGTCAGCTGCTACATGCTAATAAAATTTTTAGAGGTGAAGATTTGGCTTCCACATATATATATTTCACTTTTCCTACAGAATCGACTACAAGTCAAGGAGACAAGATTATGTTTTCTGGTGCAAATTTCTATTTCTTGTTTTTGCTGCATTTCTCTTAAACTCACCATGACTATTCAACATTTCTCTTCAACTCGCCATAACTTTTCAAAATGTCTAAAACTCACCATGTCACTAACTTGACGTTAAACAAACTAACAATTGTTAATATACGACCATTTTACCTTCATAGAAAAATATAAAATATATACATGTTTATTTTAAAGTTTTAACTAAAAAAAATGAAGAAAAGGAAAATTTATTTTTAAATTATAGAAACTATAGAAATTGAAAAACAAAAACAAAAAATAAAAATTGTAGAAAAAACACCAAAAATTATAGAAAAGCACAAAAACTATAAATAAATAACAAAAAAATACAAGAAAATTTATAGATCATAGAAAATAGAAAATTATAAAAAATAGAGATTATAACAAAACACTAAAAATGCAAAAAAAACAAGAAAATTGAAAAATGAAAAAGACAAAAAAGTATAAAGTTTAGATAAAAACAAAAATTGCAAATATAAATAAAATGATAAAAATTATATAGAAAAAGTAATAAATTGTAGAAAACACGAACATGATAATTTAAAAAAAATAAAACACAAAAAATACATAAAGTGATAAAAATTTAAATATTTGTGCAACTAAAAAATCAAAAAAATTCAGAAAAAAAAGAAATGCTCATTTTTGAAAAATATATATAAATTTTAGAAAAAATAAAAAATTGCAGACAAACTAATAAAATGATAAAATTTTTTAGTAAAATCAAACAAAAATTAGACAATGGGGATCATCAGTTTGGAATCTTTTTGGATGAAGGGCAAAATGGGTATTTTAAGGTATAAAGTTGGATGGATGGTCGAACGGAAAGTTGATGGAGGTTTTGGTTGGTTTGGGGATCTTGGATGGAGTATTTCGATAAAGATTTTGGATTTGGGGAGTGATGACCAATGAGGATCGTTAATTTGAAATTTTTTTGGTTGATGGGCAAAATGGGTATTTTAAGGTCTGAGGTTGCATGGGTGGTTAATCGGGAAGTTGTTGGAGGTTTTGGTAGGTTTGGGGGTCCTAGATGATGTGTTTTGATCAAGATCTTGGATTTGGAGAGTGGTGACTGATCAGAATAGTCGGTTTGGAATCTTTTTGGATAAAGGGGTAAAACGGTCATTTTGGGCCTGAAATTTGGTGGAAGGTCGATCAGGGGTTTAATGGAGGCTTTAGGAAGATTTAAGTGTCTTGGGGGAAGCTGTCGTGATGGAAATCTTAGATTTGGAGAGTGGTAGCCAATGAGGATCGTTAGTTTGGAACCTTTTTGGATGAGGGATAAAATGGTCATTTTAAGGTTTGAAATTTGGTGGGTGGTTGATCGGAAAGCTAATGGAGGTTTCGATAAATTTCGGGGGTCTTGCATGATGTGTTTCGATGAAGATCTTTGATTTGGAGAGTAGCGACTAATGAGGATCATTGGTTTGAAATCATTTTGGATGAAGGGTAAAATGGATATTTTGAGGTCTAAAGTTGGATAGTTGGTTGATTGGGACATTGATGAAGGTTTTGATAGGTTTTGAGGGTCTTGGATGGTGACCTCGATGAAGATCTTGGATTTTGAGAGTAGCGACTAATAAGAATAGTCGGTTTAAAATCTTTTTGGATAAAGGGCAAAACTATCATTTTTTGGTCTAAAATCTGGTGGATGGTCGATCAGGGGTCTGAGGGAGGTTTTAGGAAGATTTGAGCGTCTTGGGGGAGTTGTCGTGATGGAGATCTAAGATTTTGAGGGTGGCGACCGATAAGAATTGTCAATTTAGAATCTTTTTGGATGAGGGGTAAAATGGTCATTTTTGAGTCTGAAATATAGTGGGTCGATCAGGGGTCTAATGGAGGTTTTAGGAAGATTTGAGCATCTTGGGGGAGCTGTCGTGATGGATATCCAAGATTTTGAGAGTAGTGTACAATGAGAATGGTCGATTTGAAATCTTTACGTATGAAGGGAAAAATGAAGACTTTTGGATCTGAAATTTGGGTGATGGGTATCCTGGGGTCCTTGGAGTCTAATGGAAGTGTGTGATGGCTTTAGAGGTGAGGGAAATGTGAGGATCTAAGTTATGAATATTTTGGCCAATGAAGGGGCTTAAAATGGAATCTTGGGTTGACAGATCGGTAAATAACGGAGTTTTTAAGTTTGACTTTGGTGGAGTGGCATGGATTTGAATTATGAGGCTATTGGGAGCATTTGATCATGTCGGGGATATGTGGATTTGTAGGTTTTTTGTTTGAGAAGTGTTGTACTATCAGATGTGTTGAAATAGAAACTTTGATGAATAAATGGCGAAATCAAGGGATTTAAGGTTGAAAATGTTGGACAGTTTTTGTATGCCCTTAGCTTCAATCAGTTTTGATGTACTTTTGATATTTAATGTAAATAAATGAAGTACATGTTTGATTCATGTTGTGTGGTATACTTCTATGTAAAACCCTAAAACTGGACACTTAATGAGACTTGTGTTGGTTTTAAACGTTCACAGTCGTTGGATAAGTCTGGGGAGATTTATCCTGCCAAGACTGACACTGGTGTGCTGCCAACTGTTGGGGTGGCGTGTCTCAGCCGCCAGGGTGAGACCCAAGGCACATGCAGTGTAGGATTAATTGAACCCTTGAACCGGACCAGATTTCCAGTATTTCCCTGGACCTTGGAAATTGATGGGAAAAACTAGAAAGTTACACCTGACCCCTAGACCCGATTATGGTATTGCACTAGGTGTCGGATTGGGCTGTCTTTGATATGCCAATCAGTGAGATCCTCAGCGGGGGTCAAAACCTGGGTATGTTGGGACAGTCTGAGAATTCATCTGAGTGGGTGATCATAGTGACGGGATCATCCCCTTTGTCGAACAAAGGTAATGATCGGGGATGCACTCTCTCTGATGGAAACCAAACTGTCGGCAGTTGATTTCAATCGTTGGAATTTTGTTTTGCAAAATTTATATATATGATATATATTTAAGTATGGTTTCAAAATGTATGCAAATGGTTTTAATTCTCAAGATCCATGTAAGTAGAGAGTGCAGCACTGTTCCTTGCAGCCGAGGGAGAGGTCCTCTCTTGTCGGGCAGTGCTTGATCATTATGGGCCGAGAGGTTGAGTGTAAAGCCATTTGGGATAACACCTAATGGGCAAATGTTGCACCTGCTCACAGTCCCTGGGTTTTTATAAGATGGCTTGGCCCAGGGACCAC